TTAATCTTGTTTAATAGCTCACTATTATCATAATTGGCTTTGGCTTTGGCCTTTTGGAAATTTTGTTTTACCTTTTAACTAAGCTGAAATGGTTGAAATAAGGGTTTTTCTAATTGTTTAGAACTAGCAGCTTGAGTAGAGGATATACTACTAAGCTTGATAACCTCTGGTTTTTGGACGGCTAATTTATCACCTAAAACCTGAAGATATTTATTGGTATAATTAGCCTGTTCCATCAAACTTTTGATATCTTTAGAAGACAGATTTTCTTCTACATCCTTAGTTTTGAAAGGTGCAGCTAAAACAAGATTATTCTTTTCATCCCTAATCTGAGGGAATTGGTATTGGGTTTTGGGAGGAAGTTCAGATTGGACTTTTTCTCCGTCTTTGAGATGCCAAATAACATTTGTGGAATGTTGTCCTATAAGGTCATCTCTGAAAGGATAATCTATATTTTTCTTAATGGTATAAGCATGAAACCAATCAAGAAAAGGTATATTGAGTTTGACATAGTTCAAGAAATTATAATAAATCTCCTGAATCTCTAATCTTTTTGAACCTTGATATTTTTTCAAAAACCAAGATCTTTGAGGTTGGTTTTCCTCCGAGGCAAAATCTTTACGGAGGGCCTCCTTATCAATTTGAAACTCAAATTGTATCATAATGATCATTAAGGGAAGAATAGGTTGGAGATTGGAAGCTATACCAAAGATACATTTTTCAGGATTCAGCCGCATATTATGCTTTCGGAGTTGTGTGAATACTTCGGCAAGGTCATTTTTGTGAGTGCGAAGGTCGTCCGACTTGACGACCATATCATCGACATAAACTTCGAGGTTTTTGCCGATCTGATTCTTGAAAACTTTGTCCATAAGTCGTTGGTATGTCGCCCCTGCATTCTTTAGACCGAACGACATTACGCGATAGCAGTAATTCGCCGAGTCGGTGATAAAAGCTGTTTTATCTTCATCATGCGGGTGCATGCGAATTTGATTATAGCCCGAGTAAGCATCCAAGAAAGTCAACAAACGATGCCCTGCCGCTCCATCAACCAGCCGGTCGATGTTGGGTAGTGGGTAGGCATCCTTAGGACAAGCCTTGTTGAGATTGGTGTAGTCTGTACACATTCGCCACCTGCCATTGGGTTTCTTGACCATAACGACATTTGCTAGCCAAGTGGTATAGTGGATTTCCCGAATGAAGCGTGCTTGCAAGAGCTTAGCCACTTCCGATTCAACGGCAATTTTTCTCTCTGTTCCCATCTTTCTCTTCCGTTGAGCAATTGGTTTTGCCGTCGGGCAGATAGACAACCTATGACACATAAAGTTTGGGTCGATACCTGGCATGTCTGACGGTGTCCATGTCCTCATTGGTTTGGTAAACTGGTCGCGGAATGGTTGAATTAGTTTCGATGCCCCTAAGGTTGGTTTCTGGAACAATAATCCTAGGGAGCGAATTTTTACTAAATTGTGAGGCTACTGAAAAAGATCTTCTAGCGGAGGTGTATTCAGATCTAGTAGCTTCTGTTCTTGAGGAAAAAGAATTTCTCCTATCGAAAATGATTTCTACCTTACCAGCCTCAGACTGCCTAATTTCTTGGAATTCAGGGGCTTATCTGGGTAGGGTTGGTGTTGCTCTTTCAAGTTGCCAAGCTGTAGGAAGTTCTACCTCATCCCATTTTATGAGTTTGGGAACAACAACATTAGCTTTTGTCATGTCTGTGACGAACAAAGTGGTTTCCCTATCATTTGTTTTAAGAAGAACCCTTGAGTTACAAGTGTTCATGACTTTGTATTGGATCCTATAAAGGAGAGCTGCAGGGATAGAACCTTCTTTCATGTTTAACCCGTGCAGTCTAATGTTTGGAAACAATGAATCTAAGACATTTCTATCTAAAAGACTCACAATTTTATTTGGAAAACTATTGAAGTAAACAGGACCATGCCCTAAGCTTGTTTCTACGGTTCCTATAAGGGAGTCATGGAAGTCATTGTGCCTGATATCTCTAAGACACATAAGGATTGAGGCATTAAGACCTTCCCTGATTAGGGGTTTAACAACAACTTGGACACATCCTATATGGAGGTACTTGTACTTCCTAGAATGTTCTGTAACAGATTGTTTAGTAAGAAGATGAAGTGTTATCACAGAGTACAAGAATACTACTTTCATAAATTTCGTAGTCTTCCAGCTGATGTTTGATCCAAAGAAATTGCGTAAGGCACTGTCCCGTGGTGACATACTCAGCTTTGCAAGTTGATAAGGAAATCGTGCTTTGCCTTTTGCTGCTCCATGAAACTAAGTAGCGTCCGAGACAATGACATCCTCTGTTGGTGCTTTTTCTCTCCCATTTGTCCCCTGTGTAATCTACATCAGAATATTCTAATAGGGAAAAATTCTGGCTTCTATAGAAGTTGACTCCTAGGTTACTTGTTCCTTTAAGATACCTCAAAATACGTTTAACAACTTGTAAATGTACCTCCGTAGGTCTCACTTGAAATCTAGCGCAGACACAGACGCTGAACATAATGTCAGGTCTGGATGGTGTTAGGTACAGGAGTGAGTCTACCATTCCTCGGTACATGGTGTTATCTACGTCTAGTGAATCTTCGTCTAGCCAAGAGTAGAAGATGGATGCATTGAAGTCTTCATTGGTTTTGCGTCTTCTATATTATACTTTTTCAACAGCTCTTTGGTATTTTTTTTTGATGAATTTTGATCCCTTCGTCTGACTGGACAATTTGAAGTCCTAGAAAGAACTTTAGTTCTCCCATCATGCTCATTTCAAATTCATCCTGTATAAGCTTGGAAAACTCTTGACAGAGATTGTCATTAGTAGCTCCAAATATTATGTCATCTACATAAATTTGAACTATTATGAAATCATCTTTTAGTAATTTCTGAAATAGGGTGTCAATTTTTCCTCTTATGAAGTTGTTGCTTATTAGAAAAAAGCTTAATTTTTCGTACCACGCTCGTGGTGCCTATTTCAGTTCATACAAAGCTTTGTTTAGTTTGAAAACATGGGATGGAAGCAAGTCATTTTCAAAATCAGGGGGTTGGCTTACGTAAACTTCTTCTAAGATTGTTCCATTTAAAAATGCACTTTTTACGTTCATTTGGTATAATTTCATACTAGTGCATGCAGCAAATGCAAGTAATATTCTAATAGCTTCTATTCTAGCAACAGGTGCAAAGGTTTCAGTAAATTCGATACCTTCTTGCTACGAGTATCCTTTTGCAACTAACCTTGCTTTGTTCCTTACCATGTTTCCTAAATCATCTAGCTTGTTTCTGTACACCCATTTCATGCCAATTATCGTTCTATCCTTTGGAGCTTGAACGAGTTTCCAGACATCATTCTTCTGGAATTGGGTGAGTTCTTCTTGCATAGCTTCAACCCAGCTATCGTGTGATAAGGCTTCATCTATGGTTTTTGGTTCAATTTGAGACAACAGTGCAATCTATGCTTGGGTTTTGAATGAGCTTCTCGTTCTTACTACATCTTTGGCCTCAGCAATGATCTTCTCTTGAGGATGATGATTCTTCATCTACCAGTTTTGATTAAGTAGTTCTCTTTCCTCTCTATCCTCCTGTTGAATTTCGGTTTCTTCATACTCATCTTCCTTTGTCTGGTTTTTATTTACTTGCATATTTTTAAAGAAATTTCCTAGCTCTGATATTTCTTTATCAAGCTTGTTTTCATCAAACTTAACATGAATGGCTTCTTCAATAGTTCTGGTTTTGTTGTTGAAAACTCTATAGGCTCTTGTAGGATACCCTCGTCGATTTTTTAGTCAAATTTGCCTAAGTTATCTTTAGTATTTAAAATGAAGCATTTGCTTCCGAATGGATGAAAGTATGATATGTTGGGTGCTCGTCCCTTCCATAATTCATAAGGAGTTTTCTTCAAGATAGGTCTAATATATATTCTATTTTGTATATAGCAGGAAGTATTGATTGCTTCTACCCAGAAGTGTTTGGGAGTTGAAAAATTATTTAATAAAGTTCTTTCAATTTCTTGTAAAGACCGATTCTTTCTTTCGACAACTCCATTTTGCTGTGGAGTTCTTGGAGTTGAAAAATTGTGTTTAATTCCATTTTCTTCACAAAAATCTTGAAACTGTTCATTTTCAAATTCTCCCCCATGATCACTTCTTATAGACGCAATTGATATTCCTTTTTCATTTTGATCTCTTTTACAGAATACATGGAATACCTTGAAGGACTCATCCTTGTGAGTTATGAACAACACCCATGTCCATCTAGTGTAGTCATCAACAATGACTAATCCATATCTTTTACCACTGACAGATGCAGTTCTAGTGGGACCGAATAGATCTATGTGGAGCAGTTTAAGAGGTCATGAGGTGGAAACATGATTTTTACTTTCAAATGAACTTTTAACTTGTTTCCCCTTTTGACATGCCTCACATAAGCTATGCGTCTGGTACACAAGACTCGGTAGAGATCTTATGAGGTTATGCTTTTTCAACTTTGAGATTAATCTCAAACTTGCATGACCAAGCTTCTTGTACGAATGGCCGAACCAAGTGTCCGAATGGTCTTACCGGTACAGGATACATGTCAAAACATGTCTGATAAATATTGTGTCAAAAACGTGTCAAACACATCAATACGATATTTATTTTATAGATGTATTGGTGTTTTATATTCCATTTTATCAAGTCAATCTTTATAAAAGTAAAAAATACCTCTAATTATAATTTCATGTCCAAACTAAAAATTAAACTTATTTCCTTAATTAAGGAGTCATGAGGGGAATCCAAGTCATTAGTAAGCATTAAAAATATATTTAACTCATAAAAGTAAATTGTACTATTCAACTTTTAATTCCATCTTTTGTTTTGGTTTAGGCTATTAATTAACTTCATCTAAGTTTGGTTGTTTGTCAAATTTATGTCCACATCGAAGGGGACAGCCTGGACAGTGAACCAATGGTTCTGCTCAATAGGGGATAGCCAGTTTCCATATTTTAGTTTTACATTTCATTCATAATATATTCCAACTTCTATCTCCTCGTGCTCATAATCTTTGCCCATCAAAATAAACTTCTTTCATTTTATGCATGAAACTTCTTCTTTTCATTCCTCAATTCTAGAAAGAAAAAAACAATTTCTTTGTCTCCCTTTTTTTCTTGAATATTTTGCCTTGAAGTTGTAGATGGGATTAGGAAGGATTGGATTGTTTGATCTTGAAAAGCAATTTGCTTTCTATGGAGCTTACCATAGCAACCCAGTTAACATAGCAATCCATGTTTTGTTCGTTTGGCCAATTTTTTTCTCAGCCCTTCTTATTCTCTACTTCGTCCCTCCCTTCTTCAACCTTCCAAATTTGGAGTTTTCCCTTTGGGGGAGCCATGTGATCTTGGTTTGGAATGTTGGGTTTCTTGTTGCTTTGGTATACTCAGTTTTCTATGTCTGTTTCGACCTCAAAGCTGGTTCCTTGGCTGCTTTGCTTTGTGCACTTTGTTGGGTCGCTAGTAGCTTTGTTGCAAGCCAACTTGGGTTGTCTCTAGCTTGGAAGGTAAACGAGGTTAACATTCTTGTATTTTATTGATATCTCATAATTATATCGATAATAATATAGTTTAGATCCAAGATTATGTACATATTATTTAAACTTTTCAACACCAAACTCTTTGTTGTGTTTTATTTATATGAATTAAAGCAAATGTGTATATGTTTTTATTTTTTGGAATTAATATTTTGACTATGGGAGTTGTGTTTGTTTTTCAACTATGATTAATGTATATAAAGAAATACAAGTAAGAAGAAGTCAACCTCTTAAAAGAATCTTAATATATTTTAGAGGAATTAGTTTTTAATTCTTTATTAAGAAATACTTGGTTTATAAATAAATGAAAACGTATTGGAAAAGCAATCTAATTTTTTTTCTTCTGTATTTGTCTTTTTTTATATAGTAGTTGACCACAAAGCAAGTTGCTTATGGAAATGGAAATTATATCAGCCTACAGTGTTTTGAGATGGGGATGGAAATGTATATTAGCCAATGGATTTTTTTTTTTGGCTTTTTTTTAAAAGTTATTATAAAGCATAAAATAAAATAAAATAAATAGAAAGAGATGGTCCAAGAAAACGTAGGGAGATAATGAGATGAGATTGGAGACAGCGAATAAAGAGAGAGAGGGTAGGATAGAGCATGCAGAAAAGGGAGTGGTAGAGAGAAAAGAGAACCCAACCTTATGTTAAGAAAAATCTTTTATCCAATTTTTTAGATTTTTTTTCTTTTTTTTTCTAATAAAAATTAAGTTATTTAATTTTTTAAAAAGAATAAAAAGTGTGTTTGACAAAAATTGTTTTCCCAAGAGCATCTTTATTGATAATTCTTGTTGAATTCAAGTGCTGTAACAATGATTTTTATATAAGAATCAATTATTAACATTAAAATATTATTATATTTAGTACGAAGTATGAAAACGTGGCTGTGGGGCAATACATTAGACTATTTTAAATTTTAAAATTTAATTGAAGTAGTTTGGTTATTAGAATATAAAGCTTATCAAAATATTAAATTTGATGCCATTTATGTAATAAAATCTACCAAAAGCAAGTTTAGAACAAAAAGGTGAAACGGAAATAAAATCAAGTTAAGCCAACACTACCTAAGATTACAAGTTTGGTTCTAGTTTTCTTTTCTTCTTTTTTTTTTTTAAAGGAAAAAAAAAACTAAATTTTCAAACCATGCCGAAAAACTAAGAATGACAACAGAAAGTAGGTTTTCTTCTCATTTTCACATTTTTATAATTTTAATTTACTTATATATTTTAAATAAATTAAATTTTAAGTTAATAATTATATTAAATATAAATAATGTATAAAAATAATAAATAAAAATAACTTACAAAAAAGAATTTAAGAATGTTAAGAATTAAATTATATTTTTAATTAAAAGTATAATTTTAAATTTATTATTTAATTATTATTATAATTTCAATTATTTAACTATTATAATAATTAATTTATATTTTTAATATTTATAAAATGAAAATCTTAGCTTTAATTTTTATATGCATACAAGTACCGGACAGAATGAGGAGTTAAATATCCGAACATGAATCTGAGTTGATTTTTCAAGTCAGAGAAAGTCTCTATCTGAATCCATATCCATACTCAGTGTGTGTTTGGTTTGAATTTTGTGACGTGATTCTTCAAACAAAGTAGAAGTAACTCCTCATAACTTCTATGTAAATATAAGATTTGGACGTGAAAATTTGTTACGATGTGTTACATATAAGATTTGGACGTGAAAATTTGTTACGATGTGTGTATAGAACGCTGAACCAAACACCTACTAAGTCAAAACAAATTTTGGAATTAAACAAATACTTACTTGTACAAGTTTAATTATCATGCGTAAGAGAGTGCAACTATATGGAAGAAGAATATATCCAAAAGCCTAATTTAGATGCAATAAGATGAACAACAACAAGCCTTATTCTATTAGGAGTAGTGAGTCCCCAATTATATTAAAAGGAAAAATTAAGATGTTTGAAAATTTCTTCATTTCATCCACTAAGCTTGAATCATATGTATCACATTCACCACTTTATAAGATGGCTTATGAAACACGGATACTTCAATTTGCTTCACGTATCCGTATCTGATACGTATCCAACACGATACTCTTGGATACTTTACTGATACGTGTCAATGAAGTATCCTACTAGCCTTTAAAAATATTATAAAAAATTTATTCAATTTTGATACTTTTAGATACTTCACCGATACTTATTAGAGTAATACGTATCGATAAAGTGTTCAAATTTTTGAAAAAATTATGAAATATCCATTACAGCTAAATAAGATATATAAACATGTTTAATATAGAAACATAGAACTATTGGTCCTTGCTGAACTATAAATGAAAATTGTCTTCTATATAGATAATTTTAAGAAAGGAATGAAATTGGTAATATTAATTCTATTTGCAAATAATAAAAAGTAATTTATGATGAAATGATTTATAATTTATTTACTTTTAGTAATGTACAATAAGTATGTTTTTAATTTGGATTTGCAAAATAGCTATTATATATTAAATATTTATGAATTTTGATCAAAATTACAAGTACACATTTATTATATTGTATGAACATTGATATATATGATGACACGTATCTTACAAGTATCGTATCCTATATATTTTTAAATAATCGTATCGTTGTATCGGATACGTGTCGTATCCGATACGCGTATCGTATCGGTGCATCATAAGTACTGAATCCTGGTAATTGGTGGTATGAATGATCTCGGATTTTTACTTAACCTGTATTCCATATACACTTACAGACCTGCTTAACCAAAAACCCGTCCATTTCAAAGCTTCTTTTCTCAGCTAAAGAAAAAACTGGAGTTTAGAAATTACTTTTTATAACTTCATCAAGAGAAAATAATCAGATTATATATGGTTTGTTTACTAAATAGATTGGCACTTGAGGCACATCAAGTTCTTTTGATTTTCAATTTGAAATCATGTACAGTAGCGGAGGATACATTCTAGTTCCACAATCTATAAATGTTTCAACAAAGATATATAGTATTTAGAAATTAGAACCTTATCTTTTCCAGTTGCTATTGCATTGCTTAGATATTTGGTCTTAAACATGGGAATTTATTTTTTTTCTTCTTTGTAATATGCTTGTAATTAGATAATGTAAAATGGACTTTTCTAATCTGCACAGTGTTTCAGTTATATAATTTTGATGTCTGTTCCTCAATCATGTTTTTTGCTACGATCCTTTTCTCACTTTCATTCTTCCTTTCTTTTTTGGGTGTTTATTTGTTCTTTTTCCCCCTGTTCCTGTTGTTAGGAAAATTCTGGCAGAGATTCTGGTTTCAATTTCATTGTACCCTTTTCTTCTTTTATGGCTTAAGTGAAGATAGCAGAGTCCACCTTAGTTAGAGAAACCTATCCCACCTAAGTTCTAGATATTTTGGTTGTTAATAATCTGATATTATAAAGTTTTCGTTGGTTGTTTTATGCTTAAATTTCTTTTGTAACAAGTCATATAATGCATGATCTCCATGCATACATATGTTCACAGATCGTGATACAACCATACATTGCATTATGTCCTTCATCATGAATTTGGCCCATTTTCTTATAGGCTGTCCTAAAATTACAATTTTATCTTAATAGCTCTTAACTTCTTTTAGAACATGGATTTTGGTCTAACTCAACTCTAAAAATTTGATTTATAAAGAGATGATTTCTTTCCATTTATATATACTTTGTTTGCTTTAGCTTTGGTTGATATGAATTTTCCCAACAACTTCCTTAATATATGTGTCATTTCATGTGTATAGAAATCAACAATTGTTTCTAGAGTAGGTTTAGATAAAGGGATGGAAGACTGTCAAACTAGAACTGCTAGCTTCTGTGGTGTGATTCTCCCAAGTTCTTATCTTTAACTTATCCTACAAAGGCTCAGTGTCATTGTGTTCATACTTCTATAGTGCGGTTTTACGAGAGTTTAGCATGTCAAGTTTGAGAATGGTGTATGTATAATGTGTTCAGACTTCTCACATTTTGCTCTTTGATCATGTCTAGGTTGTTCTGGTAGTTCAGATAGTCTGTTGGGTAGGGCAGTTCATTGGTCATGGAGTATTTGAGGTTAGTTGTTGTTATAACAACTCAATTTGACTTAAAACCTGTTTGGATATAAGTTTATAGCTGAGAACTTTTCTACTAGAAAATACTCCTTATTTCTAATAGAGAAGATCTCGAAAGATTTTCTACCTTGTATCCAAACAAATTCTTAAACATTTTTTATATTAATGTTCCTGAGATTTTTTGTTCACAGAAACGTGCCCCTGCTCTTTTGGATAACCTCATTCAGGCCTTTGTAATGGCTCCTTTCTTTGTATTGCTAGAGGTATTCTACTTTTAAATTTCATGTTTTCCCTCTTGCATGGTTTTCTTTCCTTCCATAACATTATTTATTGTTTGAATATATTCATTTATGTCTGGCTATAAGGCTACTTGTTTAATGTAGGTACTCCAGACTTTATTTGGTTATGAGCCATATCCAGGATTTCACTCAATAGTGAAAGCAAAAGTAGAAGCTAACATCAATGAATGGAAAGAAAGTAAGCAGAAACTAGTATCTTAGATTCTTCTTTAGGCTTGTACTTCTTTAAAACAACGATCGCCCTCAAACAGAGGAAGAATAAAAGCTACAAATTATGCTAATATGTTTTCTAATAGAAGCATCAACCATGTATGTTGCTTCCTCTTCGTTGATATGGTTTGGATGCTATCTTTTATGACGTGGCAATATATGGAGCATGATTTGTGTAAAAATATGTCTATACTCACATTCCATAAATCCATGTTTTCCTTTTGTTTGTCTCTTTTTTCAAGTTTCCTCTGCCTCTTCTATCTTTTTCCAACCAAGTATAGTGAATGATTGTGATATTACGCAAAGTTGTGCTTTTCAAAACAACATTTCGGTTGACCAAACAAAAACATTTTGAGTAATGGTGAATCTATGAAGAAAAATCGGATGATGTTTGCATAGTCAAAGGATGTGTTCAGACTTGAGAACCATCCTCGTCAACAGCTTTATAAAAAAAAGCAAACAAGACGTGCACCTGTTAAATTTATAGGATGAACTCAATGCGTGCTAAATTGCTTCATCATAATTATGAAGACGTGTTATTCAAGAACAAATTTCAATTCTACTTTGCACTATATTCTTTAAGAAATATAGTGCAATATCCACATCTTGGTTGAGTCAAGCCTCGTATATTTGAGTACCACAACCCTTGGTATGCGTCAAGATTCCCCCCAAAAGAGAAAATGCAATCTGAAATGAATGAGACTTCGGAAGAGAATAACGATATACAGGTTAATATTACCTTAATATAGGAAATGTATGTATTTTTTATGCATAGGCTAATAGTGGCACTAACTAATACGTAGAGGAATTGTTGATGTGGTTTCCTCTGATATATTTTGTAGACATGAAAAAGTAAAAAAAAAATCCGTTGTTTGAGGACAAAGGCTCGAGTGTAATGATATAGTTCATCATATTTAAGTTATTATGTCACAACCTTGTAGAGCATATGGATTTATAAGTCCAAAGAAAATGCTTCACTCATCCGTTACGTGTCTTGGACCTAACATCCCTGTAGAATGCTAGCTAGCACTCAACCAAATTAATTAATCAATATGAATATATACATGAATCTAGACACATATAAATACACAAACGACTCATTCAAATGATTAGTTTGTTTAACTCGTACTTATTTATATTAAGTGGCAATTTTGTGACGAAACAGACACAAGAATTTTGTACTATAATAAAATGTGGTGTGGTCCTGAGCCACATCTTATTATATATATATATGGCGCATGCACATACCAACCTTCTCAACACGTCACTTCCAATTCTACCAATACCGCCGTCATCCTTTTGGATAAGCAACACAAGGTGCCACCAATCACGAATTAAATTAATAGTTCATTTGAATACTCCTTTCTGCTTCAATTATTGACTTGCACCACATAATTTGCCAATCCTGTTCTTGGTCAAAATACAATAATCATCGTGATGATGTGTGCATGGAAACGGGTGGCTTAACCATGTTTGGATTTGAATGCTACCAAAGAATAATGAGCTAATCCTCTTGTTTAATTGAACTCTGAAGTGTATCAGAATAAGGAATGCAATTCCTATGAGGTAATACTTGTGCTTTTTCATAAAAAGATAAATGTTATAACAAGGTTTTTTAAAAAAGTGAATGGTATTTCTTACAAAGAGTATATATATACAATTTCTGTGGGAGCTAGCTATCTGATTGGATATTTCATATCACTGAAAATTCATTGGGTGATGTAATATTTATTTCTACAAAGAATCTTCAGGATTATTTAATTGGTGACGCTTATCGTCATGCCAAAATAATCAAATTTCATTAGTTTTTAATATTGATATTATCCTCTCTGATCATACACTTGGTTCACAAATATGGTGGGGTTGAGGGTGCTATTCTGTTTCACTTGGTACTTCCCTGAATCTGATGCATAAGGGTCATTATTAGGCATTTCAACCAGCTGTGGTTTTACAAACGGGTCTATTCCTCCATTGTCAGTGTTAATTTGAAAATCAAAGGTTGAATTGAATGAGCCATCAGATAATATATGTGATATTGGACCCAAGTAATCCATCTCCAAAAGATGAGTGAGAGAGCTAGTCCTTGGAAATTTCATTACTTCATGTTGATCACTGTCATTATTTGCAGGTGCAATATTGATTTGGGATATAGGGTAGTCCTCTCTTGCCTCCAATGATTTTCCCATGTTCTTCTTCTTATAGATCCTACACAAGACCCAGTCATCCAGCTGATGACACATCCAAGTACAAGAATAAGGTCAATTAAGGAAAACATTAAACAACCATCTAAAGAGTAATATAAAATCTTTTATCCACTTAACCAATTAGAAATTATATTAGTTATGACATTTATATATTATATAATATGAAAGTTAACCAATTTATCATACATAAAAACTTGTGATCAGATAAGATGTCAAATCAGCGTCAAGCTTAGGCTAAGTACACAATATTTACCTAATAATTAATAAGGGAAAGACTTGAAAAACTTACCCTCATGGATCCAATTTGCCTATTGGCTTGTCTTCTTGATCCAATTAATCTGTACTCATGCATAATCCAATCTGTCTTGATACCCTTTGGTGGCTTACCCTTGTAGAAAACCAAAGCTTTCTTCACCCCAATATGCTTAGACCCACTATAGATTGCTTTGTCAGTGCCAGTAGCCTTCCAATACCCAGAAACAGTTGCTCTATTAGGCCTCACCCCATTTGGGTACTTCCTCTCTCTTGGGCTAAAGAAGTACCATTCATTTTCTCCAAAGTCAGATTTATCTGTGTTTCATGACAAATTAATGTGTTAGAACAAGTGGAACATGCACATGGACATATATATTATGAGGTAAAAGTACAACATATGAACAAAGGTTTAATCAGAAAGTGGTATTATTGTATTCCTAACACACATGTACCAGGTAATTCCCATGGATCAAATTTATAAATATCCACTTCAGGGATGATTGATGCAGGGCATGGCCTTGAGGTGGCTTGGTTACAAAGGTAGTACACAATTAGTTCCTCATCAGTGGGGTGAAACCTGAAGCCAGGTGGGAGTACAGAGGTGGTTGTTCTTCCCTCCATTCAGTGAAATCAAAATCAAGACCAGTTTGAATAAGAAACTATGGAACAGTTTTCTATTGGCTTATTTTGCTAATTATGGGGACAAGAGAAAAGGATTCTAAGGAGAAACTTGAAAGTAAGGCTCAAAGAGAAATCTAGGTGTTTGAAATGTTTGCAATGAGGTGAATGCCCCTTTTATCTTTGAGCCTTTTGTCCTTTAGTGGAGTTGCATGGCTTTGATTGGTTCCTAAGATGACTTTTCCACAACTAAGTATATGCGTCACTTCACCCATAGTGCACGAGATTCCTTATTTATACAATAATATCATATCATATTTTCCATGACTATACAATAATATCATATAAATAATTAGATGAAACTATAGTTCAATCATAAACAGTTGTATACAGCAAAATTTTGGCATAAAATACAAGTATCCACTAAAAAAAAAAAACTACATGTATTCTTAGCTCTTCATATTTAAATAAGATAAAATTACTATGAACGAATAAAACTCTTTTTCCATTTTTGTTTTCTTATTTTTACATCAATACAATTTCTCACCATACACCAATGAGGGCCCACAACTCCTTTCAAGTTTCACCTATCTTTTAACTGACTTTTCCTTTTCTTTATGAAATATATGACATTGCATTTCTTCATCTACACTGGGTTGCATTCATTCTGTGTACGAATATTATTGGAACATATCGCAGATATATAAGGTTTCACATAATTGTGATGTCAGCAACAAGTTTTCTGAAGTCTTGGATCAGTTACATGTCGTTATTTGATAAATTGATATGGAATGATGTTCAAAGAAGCAAAAAGAGGAGTGGAAAAATCATGAAAGATTTGTTTTTTTTCTGGGATTTCCTTTTTGCACTAAGAATTGGTTTGCATATAACTCCATTTTGTAAAAGTTTTATCAACAACGCAAACAATGAAAAAGAAACGCTATTTATGATGCACGTTTGTTTCTTAAAGAAAAAAATATTGATTTTCTTTCATCATACATCAGATTACCCTGCCACCAAACTAAAACAAGCAATTTTGTCAATATTGGATAAGAAAAACTTGGAAAATATGTTCGTATCGTACAAAATTTTTCACTCAAATTCATCAACCATAACTCTAATCAAAAGTTGTTTTTATGTTCTAATTTTTTTTATTTAACTTTTGTCCAACAGAATAAAAACACATGATTTCGTACAATAATTCGTACGGGAACTCATCATCGAACTAATTGGACAATACTTTTTTATTATTATTATTATAAAAGGACAACACTCTTTGTATTATATAAGACGATCCTAAAAAATATTTACCCAAAGAAGTAAATTTTATTTTAATAATTTTTACATTCAAAATGGAATGTTTTTATTATCAACTATCGAGAATACTTTGGTGGGAAATATTAAACAATAAAAACACGTATATTCATTTCATTCTAAAATAATTACGGTTTAATATTTTTATAGAGAATAACAATAAATATATCATTTTTTCTTACAATCTTATTAAAATGATTTTATTCTCTTAATAAATATATTATTTTTAATTGTAATAGTTCAAAAATTTATAAAGAACAAATTAATAAAAAAAATATATTACATTAAAAACTGAGAACATAAGTTATTTTAGAACTTTCTTGAAATATTAAATTGGCTGTAATTTTTGGATGGAGAGAGCAAGTTTTTGAAATAAATGGTCATTTTGATTCTTGAGAGTATTAAACATTATCACATTAGTTTTTGAAATTAGGAAATGTAAAATAAGTTCCTAAATTTAATTATTTATTGTCACATTAATATTATCAATTTTGTCACATATTTTTTTAAAATTATTTTAGAATTATAATTTGATTGAATCCCTTTTTTTATATTTTTTTTTCTAACTAAAGTAAGACATATAAACGCGTATATTCCTTCTATGGAAAAGCTTCTTTCTTTTTCTCTTATCCAAATGGAAAAGCATATGATAGTCACTTCTCTTGTATTGTAAATGAAATTAGGCAAATCAGCAATTTATTTTCAAAAGATGCTTGGATGTGAGACATGTGCCTCATACGTGTGTCACTACCTTACATATAAATAAAGAAAACAACAAATAAATGAGAGAGCAACAATTTGGTTCACTCAATAATACTAAAATTTTCTCTTTGAGTTGGTTTGGGTGGCACCAATGAAGGTGGAGAAAGTGTGGAGTCTTCCAATGGAGCTAACTTTTCTAAAACCATAACAAGAAAATATCTAAAATGCTACTATTCTTTATCTCTTTAAGATAAACTTGGAACTCATATTCGTTGCGTGTTTCGTTGATTTCTTTAATTATTCCCCGGTGTTTGAAATTTTCCTTTTAGAAGTTAGACCATTCTATGTTTGAATGTGATAAATAATATTAATGATTCAAGAAAAAAGTCAAAAATTTTATATTAGTTCTTTGATTTTGAATATTATATATGTTTCGTACATGATATCGTGTGTTGTTTTAAAAAATAAAAAATAAAATTTATATATATATATATATATATATATATAATATCTTCATTTAATGACTAAAAATGTAATATAAAAAATATCTTATAGAAACAATGTTATTATTTAATTTTTTTATTAATGATAGGATGAATGAAAAATTGTTTTCGTGGTACATTTTCATGTCGAGATAATGGTTTTTCAATTTAAATAATGTTTATTTAAATTCAAAAATAAGAAATAACATATTATATATATGGTGAAATAGTACATATAGTGAAGAGTTAAATTAAAATATTTTATTAGGAAAACAATTCATTGCATTATAACATGAAAATCGCATTTAATTATTACATTAAAAACATTTTCTTTTTTCATTTCTTAACATGTGCAATTGATACAAAAGATCGAAAACTATATAAATATAGAGTAATGTTATATTTTCTATAATTTTTTTTTATAAAATAAATATATTCACCTACTGAGGATTGGATTTAACATTATTTTAAACATATATATATTTTAGGGTAAATAAACATAAACATATTAGTATTAGTGTATTGCTATAGCAAGTGTCCAATATTCTTCATGATGCAGTCAACAAAGGTAGCTATCAGAGTCACTTAACAAAGTGACGCGTGTCCTTCCAAAAGTGGTAGGTTAGAACTTGGAAGTGAGAAGATAAGCACTAACTTATAAAAGAGAATAAAATAACACAAAAACACAATAATCTTCCTCTGGTTATTACCTAGACAAGTCATCAACTACACCTAACAACACAATATCTCATTTTCACATTTTAGTTTCATTTTTTATTCTGCTATTTTCTTAACAAAATTTATAAATTAAAAAAATGTAATTAATGTTTATCAAATATATGCATAACTTTAATTTACTATTTTATATTTCACATGGACATAAAATTATTATTAAAATGTAAATTTTATGTAAACGGTCATACTATAAAATGAAGAGATCAACGCGATAATTTTAACCCAAAAAATTATAAATAAAAATAAAACTTAACTATTTAGTGAGAAAAATTTTCTTCCCAACTTTACAATTATATTAGCAGCTAGGGAGACATTTATGAAGCTTTGAGTTTGAAAATAAGCGCATGCGCATGCCCGACACAAATGTCAATGATAATTAATTTTCTTTTTTTCTAGTTCAGAATCTAATATATAATGGAGAATTTTATTTTTATTTTTTTTACGATTAAATATGTGGTGTGAATATTTCTCATTTCTCAATTTAGTTAATGTATTAAAAATTATTAAATTGGTCTTTATAAATAAAAATGTTACCAATTTGATATTTGATATTATTAATTTTCATATCATTTTAAATTTGGTCCTACTTATATAATACATTCTTAATTTGATCATCTATATGGATGGACAAAATTAATAATACATAACACATGCAAGAGTGTAGGGTTAATTAAAAATGTATTATATATAAAAATTAAATTAAAAATACGTAAAAGAGTTAACTATTAATATTTTGTCAAGATTAATTTAATATTCTTTTTTACATAAAGAATAAATCGAGAATTTATCACATATATGTGGACTAAATTATATATATTTAATTTTGTGTTATTATTTGAAAGAAATGCTGCAACTGTTTTTCACGTTGATCAAACTTTTAAACGAATTTTTCTCAAAAATTATCATTGAAAGTAATTTCATATGTATTTATCCAACTATTCTCATGCTTTTTTCACTTTTTATTATGAGAAAATGTTTCTAATTACTTTATAATTCTTGCGTCAAATTAAATTTTAATGAAATTAAAATATAATTATTATTTATTAAAATGATTTTTCATTACTTTTTTCTTCCGCATAAATGCTACTGCTACAAATGGAAATGATTTCTCGTATCTGATAATGTGTCTTTATATTTGTATTTGACAAAAATAAATAAATAAAGAATAATGAAATCCATAGGCTATGAATTTTATATGTTTGTTTTCGGAAAGAAAGTGAAATAATTTTAGAAGTTGTTTGGCAAAAGAAAAAATAATATATATATA